GGGCGGATCAAAATTTTGGAAATTTTTTTGAATTGGTTTGGGTCGAATCCCCTATCAGAAGGACTATGTTCTATCACCCAACTTCTGCAGTGATGTATGCAACCTATTCTGATAAAAACTATGTATCAAACTTTTCATTATGAATTGATTACTTTTCATTGTTGTTTATGTAATAAAATTTATACTATTGTTCAATTTTGTTTACTCAGAGCAATAGTAATATATACCATTATGTCTCATTATATATTGTTGAATGGTGATAATTTTCGGAAGATAAATATTATGAAGCATTTCATTCGACTATTCTATAATTTAATTCGTAATAATAAAGAAATTTTACTAATTTAAAAAAAAAAATTACAAAAGAAATCTTGACAGTGTGAACTGTCAACAATTTGGCTAAAATTTGGAAAAAAAAAAAATCCTTGAAAATTCGGTTAGATCCTCGATAGTTCGAACTGTCAGGATTTGTCAAGGGTCCTGACAGTCGAAAACTGTCATGACCCTTTTTGACGTGGGTTACAATGATAGTTCAAAAACTGTCATTGTACCTCCTTGATGGGTAATCTCTGTCAAGAAAGACTTTTTTTCTTGTAGTATATGACCCATTATATTTCCAAAGTTACCCTTGTTATTGAGATTTCAACTATTTACTAATATTTTTAATTCGATAACAGTCTCTTTTTTTCCCTATTTCATGAGATATTGTTTTGATATTAAATCAGTTATAGACAACAATCAATCATCGAAAATTATTGTAACTAATTTGATTACAAAGTAGAATATTGTTGAATTGTTATTTTTTTACTAATTAAATATTTTTTATTCAACAGGTGTGTAATTTCGAAAAAGTCTAACATAAATATGAAGTTGCAAACAATTTAAGTATCTTTATTTCTTACATCATTGACAAAGCTAATAATACCTCTATTTTTTTTGGGTTTACCAATCAAAGAAAAAAAAAAAGGAAAACAAGTTAAAGTAAAAACACGAATGTGGCAATGAATCGATCTAAAATAAGGTTTTATGATTTAGAATGAAATTAGAGGTTTTATAGTATATCTTGTTGTACTTAATCTTTTTAATTTGTCTAAGTTAGTCAATTTTTTTATAAGTGTAAAAACTTAAAAATTAAAAATTAAAAAAATTAAAAAAAAAATTAAAAGGGGGCCTAGTAAGTAAAGGGTGGGGGCCTACATTATTCCAAGTATAGAGTAAAACACACGTTCCCCCCCAAGGTTTAGCAAATGGCAAATTTTCACCCCGTTTTTATAAATTCTAATTTACACCTTAAATTAACAGAAAATAATTTAAGTAATAATCAAGGATAAAGTGATTATTGTACTCATTAATCTGAAATGAAAATGAAAATTTCAAAATAATTCTCCACGTCTAAATTTCTCTCATAAATTCTCTCATAGCGGGCAGAGTTAGCCTCACGTGGGCCAAAAGTAGTGGCTAAATGGCTAATTCTTGGCCCTGCCATGGCCAGATTTTGGCTCCACGTAGGGCTTTGTGGTGGCAAAATCCAGTGATCTGAGGCCCTCACGTGGCACCAAAATCTGGCCACCGCGAGGGCCAAGAAGCAGCGGCCAAATGGTTGCTTCTTGGCCCTCAAGGTGGCCAGATTTTGGCTGTCGCGCGCATGTGCTGATTGTGCATGTGCGGGAGATGCATGCGGGAGTAGCGCACATGGGGGGAAATGTGCTTGGGTGTTGGTTGGGGCAAAAGGTTGAGTAGGTGGTGGACATAGACCAAAGGCAGGTGGTTTTGGTGGCCAACAACGGGGAAAATAGCCAGAAAAAAATACAATCAATCAACAAGAAGAAACACATCTATAAACAATCAATTTCTCTTCAACCAAATTTGAAAATAAACTCCAATTTAAAACCCACTTTCAATTGTCTCGCAAGTCATTGGGGGAGTGGTGGGCGGCTACCGGTAGGCAATCATAGCTTGGAGTGGTGAGGGTTTTAGCGAGGGGATGTAGGTGGATCAAAAGGTGGCGTTGGGGTAGGTCTTTGTCGTTGGAATCAGTCAAAAATCGACAAGAAGTACGTGATTCCACAATGAGTGGTGTCGGTTATTTGGTAGTGTAGAGGGGTGGAGATGATTGGGGTTTTGATGAGGGAGGTGATGGGATGTGTTTGGTGGTGTCGGGGCATTCCAATGACGTCGAAATAATGCCAATTGGCTTGAAAATGACAATTGCGCGGTGGAGGAGGTCATGGGTGGCTACGAAGAAGAGAAGTGTGTTATTGAAATAAATTTGAAAATAAAATCGTTATTTTTAATTCTACTAATTTGGGGGTTAAAAAGTAATATATTAATTTATTTGTGAAGGACAATTTGCTTATAACACTTTATATAATGTGTCAAAACCCAAAAATTACTAACAATGTTAATTAAATGATGGGAATTTGGAATTTATGATAACAGGGTTGGGAACATGTTGTTTACTCTCTAAATATATTAATAAAAACACTAACCACATATGATCTAATGTAGTTGGTATATATTAACCATGGGGAAGTCATTTCAAGCCCCCATCTAGCTGATCAATAACTTCCACTATTTTTTTTTTAAACAAGTTTAGCCTTAATAATAATTACTAGAATCAACATTATAAAATCTAAATACACCTCTATTCTATTTTACATTTTGTTTTAATTTTTATCTTTTGATTCTTCTATAAACCTTAACCCTAAATTTTTATAATTGTTAAAATCTTTTGTTTTCTATCAATTATTGTTTGTCTGATGAAAATATATTACTAAAACTATTAAGAAAGTAATCACAAATGACACAACGGGGATGAATGTAAATCTAAAGAAAAATAGTAAAAAAGAAAAATAAGTTTCAAGTTTGAAATTAGGAAAAGAGGTGATAACAAAAATCCTAATTAAGTTTGAAATTGGAGGGAAGGGGTAGAAAAAAAAAAAAAAAAAAAACTAATTAAGTTTGAAATGGGATAAACAAAAAAGCTAATCAATGCTAGAGGATTATTTTCGGTACAAATGAGGTTTAAAAAGAATTATTTTAAATATAATAAAGGTGAACTTAGCAATGCAGGGTACTGATCAATTATATGGCGACTAAAAACCACTTCCCTTAACTATATTTACGACTTTGTATTACATGTGTTAGATATATCAACTTTTATGTTTTTAACCACAAATAAAAATTGTAAATAGTGATTTTTTTTGTTATCATGTACACATATAATAGATGTGGTTAAATTAAAATGTGATAATTAGCCCACTCTGCTGTAATGAGAGTATGACTATTTGCATGTTAAAAGTGATACTCTCATCGCAACAAGTGAGCTGATTGTCATTTTGATTCTCACCAATTAATCAAATTTAGGTTCGTAGTGAGGGGCCGCATACTTTGGGATCTCAATGCCTACCAAGAAACAAGTAAATGTGTGAACAAGAACAAAGGAAATGAAAATGAAAGAAAAGTCCGAAACCAAAATGGCATTTTCAATCACCTTGATATTTCTAGACCACAGTAAGAATCAAATTGGATTTTAAGTTGTATTTGTATCAAAAAACCCAATATTGCACATAAATGTTGATAACTTGATTAATGATAGATAGAAAAAAAAAAAAAAAAGACCTTCAAATCCTTCTTTAAGGAGCTAATTACAACGCTAGCAAAGAAAAAACGACATTAAAAAAGCTGCCCTACACAAAAATAAGCATGTTACTATGTTGAAAGTTCCGGTGTTAGCATTTGCAAGTCTATTCTGAAATTTGAAAGAGACAAATTTCCAGTATATGGAATTAAAATTTATGATAGAAAGAGTCTGAACAGAATAGCGACCATTGCAAGAGCAATCAGACATAGGGCAACAAAACATGACAAAAAAATTCCATAGATATTTGATGGTCCGCTCTCCTTTAAAAGACAAGTGTACTGAAGCCTCTGTCACGATTAGTTTATTATTCTGTTGGACACTTTTGGTAAGGGTTATTTTTGTCATTTCACAATATAAAAAACTTAAATTAATTCAACAAAAGCATTCACTGATTATAACATGTCAATTTAAGACTAATGAGTAATGAACCTCTACGCTTTTATCATATCTGATTTGCGTGCAAAGAGTGAAACCAAAATCTTGTACTGCATCAATTTTAACTCTTTAACGTTTTGGCTTCAGGTTGGTTAGGCTAATCCAAGACTTCCCGTTACCAGGCTTGCTGCTTCATATGTAAACTTCTACATTGCTAATGGAGGGATCACCACAAAAAATGAGATGATGAAGCTATTCGCGTGTTGTCCAAAGTCTTCCCAAATCATAAAGTAAGCAAGTGATTTCGTTAAATATGTCATTTCTACAATCTTTGCATAACGTAGATTGAAACAGACTGATGTTATATTTGTCTAATCTTGATCTCACCTTCTTATTTTTCCTTTATGGATGAACTTATAGAATGTTTTTTCGGCTCAGGTGGTAGAATTGAAGGTGCAAGGGAGATTGTTTTGGCAGGTGGAAATATTCATTGCATTAGTCAGCAACAACCAGCCATTCCTACTGCTGTTGCATAGCCCAACTCTATTGGAATCCCGAGCTGCTTTTGAGAACAACAGACCATTGTATTTTTTATTGATATTTCAAACTACAATTATGAATGGCGTTATATTAAAATTAAATAAATGGAAGTTTTTAGTTTATTTAATAAACGCTTTCTGTTACATCCACAGTTGTATTTGGCATTACTCTGTTTTGCCTCTGTCTCTCAAAGAGAGCCACTGACCAAGTATTGCTTCATAATTCACAAATACAGTACATTTCTGTTAAAGTACTACTCAAAGAAGAAATGAAGCCCGATAAAATTATCCAGCTGGACAGCAGATACGAATTTGACGATGTCTGAGCCATATTCAATCCGAAAACAGTGCAAGTACATAGCTGCATAAGCATTCTACTATGAGCTCATAAAGAAATGTTTTTACCAAATAGTCCAGCTATTCCTTCACGGGGTCACTTTGTTTCACAATTGACACCCCAACCAAAACCTGCAAGGTCACACAATTAAATTACATAATCCTAAAGTCTGAAATGATCACCTATTTCTATGTCATTCAAGTAAAACATTCTTTTCACTCTTCAGAGGATAAGGGATAATCACTTTGATTAAAGAAAATGAAACCTTAATAAGGGAAAATAATGTAATATGCCAGGTGTTCAAGACCAGTAAGAATAAGCAATAATACACATTTTGGTCTTAAAAAAAAATCCTGTTTTTAGAGGCAAAATATTTGCAGAAATTTAGATTTTGTAGTTAGGCAAGTATGACTTGAAACTTACAGCTTTGACACCAGCTTCTTGTACAATGTAATATGATCAGGAGTAAATAGCCCAGATTCACCAACTACCTCAAGGAGTCCAAAAGTAAGGAAGCCAAAACAAGCTAGTAACAGCAATGATATCACTGAAGCAAACGAAAAAGAAAACTATTTTTAACCACGAGGAGACAAGTTGCACTAGATGGCTATATTGCTTTCAGTGAATGGTCATAAAACTAGTAAAAAGACAACTTACGATATTGTCTTTTTGACGGATCCTTTGGCCATGCTCTCCTTGAAGAAGCTTTTTTGTGTTATTAATATCAACCTTAAATGTTTCTGTGGACAGGAAAAAATATAAATTGCACGTGTTTGCTAACATTGTTATATCTGTATCCTAAGCCAACTTGTCAGAGTTGCTTAAAGGGTCAAACTTAAAGTAATGTAAGTTCCAAATATAACCAAAATTATGATAAACTAGAAAACTTACCAAGGTTATGATTGTACCAATAAGCTCAATCCCCTCTATTCCAAGAACAAGATCCATTTTCTTCTCATCATGAACCTAGGATTAAACAATAGAAGATAAAAAATTTCAATCATCCAAAACTTTCACCATTTTTCAGACTCTGGGATTTGAATAGTTCATTATTATCCACAGAATTAAGTTTGGTCACTAGTATCTAACTCGTACAGATAAACATATTTTGTTTCACCAGCTATTAGCATAAAATATCCATCTCAAACAATCTCAGTTGCAGAAATAGTATGGGAATACAATAAATGACAAAAGAAGCAACATCCATACTGCTGCTAAACCAAGCATCTTGCAGACCTTAATCATGTATCTGATGTCAAGATGAGGAAAAACAGCAGCAATCAAAAGCACTGCATCTGCACCTTTAGTTCGGGCATAGTAGATCTGCCATGCATCTATTATGAATTCTTTGCACAGTAAAGGGCTGCAAAATTGACAAGCATTAGAACTCAACTAATTCTAATCTTCATTATCTGAAAAACAAGGCCAAGACTGCAGACTGAGCAATACAAATTGCAGACCAGACCTTTACTCCAGCCCTCCTTATTGCCTCCAAATTTTCAAAGCTACCCTGAAGTGATAAGATTAGAAAAAGCTAGACAAAGCAAACTTTTATCTTCAGTATTACATTTAAGCACAGGACTGCTCAAAAAGATAAACTCAATAAATCAAATATACCTTAAAATACTTTTCATCTGTCAAAACACTGAGGCATGCTGCTCCACCGTTCTCATTGGCTTGGGCAATTTCAACCTATCAAGAGAAAGCTTAAGATAAATAACAAATCACAAAACAACAAATTGTAACACAAATAGTTACTGGATCAAAATCCACTCCAATGATTCCCCAGCTGGGAGAAGCCCTCTTTACTTCGGCAACCAAACCAGGCAGTCCAGTTCGTAGATGGGCAGCTCTAAGAGCTCCCATAAAATCTCTAGCGGGTGGAGCATTCTGAAGGGCTTTCTTCAGCATATCAAGTGGACTTCTCTCTTTTAATTGTGAAACCTCAACATCCTTGTGCCATACGATTTACTCCAAAATTTTCTGAGAACTGCTCTCATTCTGAATCCGTAACTCAAAGGGTCCTGCATATTCCAAAGGAGGCCCAGTGGGAGCCCTTCTTATTCTTATACCTTGGCTAGCAGCTACTTCATTTCAGAACATCCCCACTTCCCATTCTTTCGCCTTAAGAGCAATTTCAGCATCCTCCTTCACAGGAGAAATTACAGCTGACCCATCCTTGCTCTCAGGCTACAAACACAGTACAACATTCTTTAGTACCGGCCGGTAACATTACCAGACTAGTTGCAACACAATGCAACAATAATTAACATCCACCAATCACATATAAATCCCACTAAACAATAATATTACACTCACAAACTACCTACAATATCTCTCCTTCAAAAATTCATCTACCCTAATGATAACACAATCAAATTTAAACAAGTTAAAATAAATTTAAAGAATAATTGAACTGATCGTAAAACAATGTTACTGCCGGGGTAACGTTACCGCGCCTTACCATTCCCGTAACGTAATTAAGATATTATGTGGTAGTAAACTAGCAGTAATGTATCATTTTTTCTCTTCAGTTCAATCAAATAACAAGTAAAAGGAACAGTTTTTTTCTCTGTAGTTCAATCAAATAACAAGTAAAAGGAACGTTTGTGAGTTTACCTGTTGAGCTCGAATGGAGGCGGCGAGGGTGTGGCGTATATGCGGGTCCATTGGAACGGAACGTACGATTGAGTATGAGAAGTGATCGGGTTTGGGTTTGAGATTCAGCGATGCGGTTCTCGAAGAAACTAAGCCCTCCATGAATGCACTAATAGAAAAAATTAAAATCAAATTTCTTCTATCATAAATTTAAAATTATTTGGCGTAAGATCGAATTTTAAGAAAATTGAGGTGTCGGCATGAGAGAATAATTGTTCAACAATATACAATAACATAATTGATACAAGTGGAAGTGGTTCATATGCATCAATTGTAACTTCAACGTTCTGTTTATCGCAAGCCATAACTCTTTACATTATCAAAGTAACATTAAAGTGCTATTGTATAAGACTTGAAAAATAAATATTTTATTGTATTAATAACAATTCGACAGTTTTTTTACCTATGTTTTAACAAATTATTCCATTGAAGGTAGAGAGAGATACTTGGCTTCAATTCAACCAAAATAATAAAGTTAAGCAATAAATGCACTAAAAGTCTAAAATTCAAGTAGTCATAATGCAAAATTGTGCAGAAAGAGAACAGATTACAAGAAGGGATATGATTTACCTGGATAGTTGGTTTTTTGTTTCATAGTTGCATAAATTTATTGACTGTGGAAACTCCTGAAAGCAAAACAATTAATGAAGTTATAGTATATTGAGGATTAGAAATTTGTTTGATTAATATCCCAAATAGCTACAATAAGAATTAAAGAGACTAATGAAGAGCTAAGATACGTACCATCCAATTAACTACAAAATCCAAAACATTTCAAGCTCTGCATTAAAATCATTTAAAATAAATTAAAAAAAAAAAAATAGTCAAATTAACACAATAAGAAAGGCTGATAGATAAATTTGAAGAGAAGTAATAACCTGTTGAAGAAGAAGAATTGTCCTCGGAATTTATCGATAAGAACTAAGAAGTACCGTCCTCCGGAGAATTTGCAATCGCTTCTCATCCACCAGTAAGTCTCTGGGTATGACAGTCAGATTTTGGAGGGAGGGGAGAAATTTTATATCTTGATCAACGTGAGTCAGTCTTGGACATGACAAAATTTTCAAATCCAGTAGAGAAGTGAGCTTTTGCATCCCATCCATTGGTAGAGATTCTAGATCAGGAATTTTAACAATATGCATAGACTTTAAATTGGAGAGGGGGGCAGAAAAGCTAGAGGAAGTCGATGCTCCTTCTATATTCATCAACATCATCGTCCGTTCCAGCGGTTTCCAGCTGGTCTCGCACAATTTTAGATCTTCCAGAGATGGAAACAACGGCATGAACGTCAGTTTGGGGCAAGTTTGGATATACAATTTGGAAAGACAAGGAAATGAAGGAAAATTTACATCATTATCTCTCCTCCACCATCTTCTCAATTTAGGACAATTGTAGAGGGCCAGTTCTTTAAGTGAGAGGAAGAATGTTGAACAATTGTTACTTGCTTCATCTGAAATGTATTCCACAACGTCTAGATATGCAAGAGACAAACTCTTCAAATGAGGTAATTGATCCAACAGTGGGATACGTTGGCATCTCCTACATTCTTTTGTACTAATTGAAGTTAATTTTGTGAGGGAGGAAAGCCAGCTACACCCCTTCACACCTATGAGTGAACTTGTAATAATTTTTTTCAGATTTGGGTGTGGTCTTAGACCTTCTAACACCACTTCATCACTTCCTTGAACCTCTCCATCATTAGTTCTCCCCCAATCCAATATAAGAGACTGAAGAAATCTCTTTCCTTCTAAATTGGCCAACTTGCCATTTTCTTCATATTTTAAATTCTTTATATTTAGTTTCCCTCTCAAGTTGTTCAACCCATTCAATTCCTCTATCCCATTGTGTTCCCTTTTTATTTGACTTACTACAAATAGTGATAGAGTCTGAAGATTACTCAAGCATCCTAATCCATATGGCATTCCAATTGAGGAATCACATATTTTGTTTATAAGATGCCTGAGATTTACCATTTTTTCCAATATCTCTTGGTAGTTCCTTAAGCTTGTCACAATGAGAGAGGTCTAGTGTTTCCAAATACCATAGTCTCAACATCGAATTTGAAAGTTTTTCAATATGCATATAAGAAAAATTGAGATATCATAAATGCCCAAATTCACTAAATAAACTCTCCAGCTTACCATTTGAATGCAACAACTTCTGAAACTTTAACTATCCAAAATCCAATGTTCACAAGTACTTATTAACTTGAAAAAATTTCACAATCACCATCCAAGTCAAATCCCCAATTTGATCGATAAAATAAAAAGTAAAGTTCTTGTATTTTTGGCATTATATAATGCAACTGGAAATTTCAATAATCGTTTTACTTCACCACAATCAATTGATACATGACGACATCTTGCATCCACATCTTTAGCCGTGCCTAAAGTCAGTAAGGTGCATTCAGTTCTTGCAACTAATTGTGCAAGGTCATGCATAAGATCAGGGATCTTACCTGCAATTACATTACCCCATTCATCATATTGTGGATCTTGAAAAAAAGACCTCAAAAGTAAAATCATAAAACACTTATTACCTACATCTTCTGGACAATCCTCATTTGATGCTTGAAGAAACCCTTGTGCCATCCAAAGATAAATTAGCTTTTGCTTCTGGATCTTATAACCTTTGGGAAACAATGCACAATAAAAGAAACATTGTTTCAAGTGTGAGGGAAGATGATCATAACTAAGCTTGAGTGATGGTAAAATATCACTTTCTTCTTCAATCACATTTGACATTTCATTATCCTTAAAATGCAACCAATCATCTTTTTCATTACTACCAAACAATGGTGTCCTATAGTCATTATAACAAGAGGAACTCCTCCACACTTTGCTACAATCTTCTTTCCAATCTCTACTGGTTCTGAATCTTTTGGCTCTATCCCATGTTCAAAGGCTACTTTTGTAAACAAAGACCAATACTTGTTTTCATCTAGCACTTTCAAGGGATAGACATAAGATTTAAGTTCTCTAGCAACCTGCTCATTACATGTAGTCACTAGTATCTTACTTCCTCGTTCACCATCCATTAACAAATTTTTTAATTCATTCCATGTATTAGGATTTACATTCCATATATCATCCAACACTAGTAAATATCTTTTCCCATTCATTTCTTTGCGTAGGCATTCTTGTAATTGATCAATTTCAAGTCCTTCAATTTTCTTACCAGTTGCAGATTTTAGGATCTTGTCCACAATCATTTTCACATTAAAGGTATTAGATACGTAGACCCACATCCTTAATTGAAAGTAGTTTATGATTTGCTCATCATTGTATAAAAGTTGAGCAAGTGCAGTCTTATCTACTCCTCCAAACCCAAATATGGAAATGATTGAAACATTCTCATCCCTGTTTGAGTCCAACAAAAGTTGTATAACTTTTTTTCTATATCATTTCTTCCTATAATCTTTTCTGCACGTTTGAAGGAGTGTGTTTCCCTTTCTATGTTCATGACTCTTTTTTCCTCAAGACTCTCCTTAAGGTCGAATTTCCTATCAATATTAATCGCATCTAGTTTCTCCTTAATAGCCTTAATCTTATGAGCCATTTTAAGACTATATGTGATCTGATTAGATTTGGAGAAGGAAATGCTTACCTGTTTTGCCATTTTATTTCCAGTTATTACCTCTCCTCGTTGAAAGTTAAGTAGAAAAATCGTCTAGCAAGTCATCTGTTTCATAAAATGCATCTCTGAGCCTTTGAAACCAGTCTGTCACCGCATAGTTCATTTTTCTGTGCTGCTTTTCAGCATCGAGAAGTACATTTTTGATAGTGTTGACAGTGTTGTTGAGTTTTTGAATCTCATCTTTAACACCCCATGTCAATTTGCCTTCTCCGAGAGCCAAGGACCCCAAGCCTAGCAAGATTTTCCCCACGAAGTCAAATGCTATTCCTTCTGCCATTTGTTGTTATAATACAAATTGATTTTAAGAGGGTGAAGTTATGAAACTAGCTGTAAAATTGATTGTCAGACCATGTTACTTGCGGTTATAAATAAAAATAACGACATTCTTGATCAAAACACAAACTTGAAAGATGAAAAGATACTTGACTTAATGATGGAAATGCCAAGCAAAAAGAAAAGTAATATATGCTTGGCGTGATGATAGAAAAATAAAATCAACTATCCTCATAAGATTTTGCTTTAATTTGATACAACATAGTTAACCGATTCATTCCAACGAAAAGCAAGGCAAGTGGATTAAAATAAATAAATAAAGCTTTAATTTATACATTTTAATAACTTAAAAAATTCTACTATTAAATAGAAACAAATTAGGGGTACAGTTGTCTTTTACTACATTTTAGAGTCAACGGTTAATAACCAATTGAAATTAGATGGCGTTGAGTTTTAAGATGTAAATGTTTCCTAAAACTTTTGAAATATTCCTATATATAACCAGCTTTACTAATTTTAATTCTTAAAATGTCAAGTGTTTATTTAAAGAACAAATTTAGTCATAAAATTACATGATTTAACCAAATTACCCTTAATTAAAATTACAAAGACAAAAACAGTTGGAATGGGTAAAAGTATCAAGTCTAGCGTGGTCTCGCATGGTCTAACATATTTTAATTAGACTATTAAATTATAGACTTGATATAAACTATCGACTCTAACACAGTCTAGCATCATACATTAATAATATAATAATTTTAGTTTCATTAAAGGTATAATTGATAAGTTATTAGATTTTATGGTTGAATTTGTTTTTTAAATAAAACCTGCATATGTTGGAAAATTGTGATTATTGAATTAGCTATATATGTCTAAACCTCAAAACATTTTTGTTGTGAATATTAAAAACATAAGAAAAAAACTTATGTTATTTGATAATAATCAAACATTAATACATATTTAACGGATCAACACAACTATTTATAATGTGAATCACGTTTAAGGTCAGAATTCCATATATAATTTTATCTAGCATCTTCATTGCACCCATTCAAAACACTAGTGCTTTTTGCTTTCGTTTCTTTTAAATACAAAAGAAGAAGTATCAAATAAAGAAAAAAAGCATTAGGAAAAGAAAAGGCATAAGAGAGAACAATACTTTTAATTTTAAGACATTGCGAACTACTCTGCGGCAGTTTATAACTTTTATAAGTAATTTTAAGAGTTTAGTTATTATGGTATATAATTTATCTGTTTTCAAAAAACTTTGCAGAAAAATGATTTCATTATTTTTATTTTCAGAATACTGTTTTTAAAAGCTATACCGAATCTGTTTCTAAATTTTAAAATTACAAATTTCTGACTTTCTAATTTATTTCCTGGAAATATTTGCAATGTAACATAAAAAATGATTTAATTTCTCAAAATAGAATTTTAGAGAGGTTAATAGCAAGGAACAAAGTATAGCTTGTTTATATAATTCATTCTTACTAATATTTACATAAGTTTATGATTTACATTTTTATAAGATCAAATTTCATTGAAGTTCCTTTTTTTTTTTTTTTTTCTCTCTCTAATTAAAAACAAACAAATATTATTTTTAAAAGTTTATATGGTGATTTCATAATCTTAAAATACCATTTTAAAAAAATTTCAGTTTTAAAGAGACTTTAATTTATGAATAATAATATTCATTTAAAGTTTATATCTTGTTATAAAATAATCAACTATTATATTAGTAACCGCAAATAATAAATCTATTGAATATAAAAACAACAGAATTAAATGTCAATAAAATAAAATGACAATACAATAAAATTAACAATACTAACAACGTGATCACGTGTAGGAGATCCTTTAGAATGACAAGAAGAGATCCGGTAAAGAATATAACCTTAGGATGAATGTTGAGGCCTGTGTAACACACAGTTTCCCTAAAACATATTCGCCTCCTTCACTTGGGTGCACAAGGATTTGAGTAGCGTCTGTTTCCTAGGATACAACAATAGATAAATAGCAAGAGAAACACCACTCTTCTATTCTAATGAACCAAATTAAGCTTTAACTCCAACAAAGGAAAACCTTTAAAACTAGAGAGAAAATGAAATATTGAAATTTTGGTGTGTTTGAAATGAGAGGAAGAACATATTTTTATACTACTCAAGGTGAGACAAGACATTGAATTCTACCATTACTTTCCACCTTTTCACTTTCCGATTCTTAAAACCTCATCCATTAATCCACTAACCTTTCATCTTTCAACTCCTTAACTTATCGTCTAGGCCTGCAAACGAGCTGAGCTGAGCCGAGCCGATTACCGTCAGGTTCAAGTTCGGTTCGTGAAAATTTGATAGAGTTCGAGTTTGAGTTCGAATTCATCGAGCCTAGGAAACCATGTTCATATTCGAGTTTAGTAAATTGATGGGTGTTCAAGTTTGGCTCGTTTGTTATTCGAGCCATGTTCGAGTTCGAGTTCGAGCTTAGGCTCGAATTCAAGTTTGAGGAGGAGCTTGAATTTTTGCTCGCATCAAAGTTCAAATTCAAGCTCGAATAATTTTTTGAATTCTTATTCCATCTCAACTTGTAATTGCATCAATTTATTCACATTTAGTTTTAAAATCAAATTTCTATAAGCTCCAAAGTTCTAGAATGCATGATCAATTTTAAAATCTAATTATAGAACTTGATTGCAATTGAATCATCAAACTAAGCTAAACAATGTTAATTAAGTACTCAGCAGCACTATAAACAAGCTGAAAACTGCTCATAGTAGCCCTCTCAAATCAAATTTACACAACACAAGTTACAAAACTATACAAGTAAAACTTCTTTCATCATGTAAAACGTTGGCTGTATTCCCCTCCTCCATGTGTATGTCAAAATTAGATGTCCTAGTACCACAAAAATAACAACACTTCATCAATTGTCTCATCTAAGGGAGTGTATAACTGGAAGGAAGTTGCATGCAATTGCAAATGGTAAAAAATAACTTCATCTGTTTGCCCCTCAACCTGCAACAATTAAATACTATTATTGGCAAGATCCCACGATTTATCCACCAAGAACCAAATGAAATGGCAACATTCGAGTTTTCATCCATCTCAGTATGAATCAATTAAACCAAGCAAACAGTTATGTACATTTAAAAACTATACAACTCACAAAATTACAATGATTTGTACATATAAATGAGAACTACATGTAATTTATATCCAATAAAAAGCATTAAGAATTTCAGAGACCTCAATTTAAAAATTATTATTTGACTTGTTCGAATTTGATTTGCATTTTAATAAATTAAACCGATTTATGATACACATTTATGGAATCCTATAAAAAAAAAAAATGAACGTGTGACCTGAATGTCTAACATTTGTATCGAGCACTCAACAATTAAGATGAAGCAAAATGTGATTAAACTGAGTCCTAACTGATGTTGAAAAATTAGTGGATGAGTTGTGGTTATGCATAAAATGCCACTCAAGAATTAAGATGAAACAAGATCAAGAATAACGAATCTCTTTATGAATTATGATAAATAGATATATTTTACAAGTTCGTTACTACAGGTAAGAATTTTATATGCATATACTTAAGAAATGAGTGTTGAGAATATATGTACAATTATACATCATATATATGTATTTATTTTCTCCTTAATGTATGTAACATACCTAAAGGCCAAAGTTAATGAGTACTATTATTATAATTTGCTGTATTTATAAATTATAATGAATAAATACGAACCTTCGCTTTGGTGAACAAGCCAAAATGGGTTGATTAGGTAAGCTAATAAACTTAATCCACACCAGTTGATAGCTCATATTATCAACCTCAAATGTGACGAAGCCAACAAGCCAATCACACAATCCAATGGCCCCAACCATCATCCTCAAGTGTGATTCTCAGTATCAGTAGAGTGGATACTACATGTCACCACGTACACACAATATGTGAACTTCTCTACTATGCCTATGACACGTTTATCAACCTTCGCTTTGGTGAACAAGCAAAACCGTCATTTTAAGTCGACCCATCACCATTAAGGAAAATACAATGCATTTTAACCTCCCACTGGTAGAAGTGCACCCTTCGCTTTGGTGAACAAGGTTTCGACGAATAGTGGTTTAATTAAAACCATGGTGATGGAAGGCATACGTGACTTAATATACTTTAATTGAGGGTTTGTTATTTAAAGTCTCACCAGATTATTATCTTTGTTAGAATGACATTGTTTGGCATGTTATTGAACATTCAACCTTATCATGCATTCTAAACAAAATATTAAAACGTGCCGGTACATGGCCCAACTAAAACGGACTTCCTCGAGCCTAGAGGAATCGATGGGTCACCTAGGGGTCTTGTAATAAAATCTTGAGTCTTCAAGTATGATTGTCTCTTCCTTGATTTGTCTTCAAATACATTACAAAAACATCATTCTAAATTTACAGTGAGAATAATTATACAAAAATTTTTACATTAATAAATTTAGAAACCTCGATTTACATTCGAAGGGAAGGAGATGAGAAGAGAGTGTACATCGAGAAGAGGAGAAAGGTAGGACACGCAGACCCTATTAAATAAATTACAACCATACATACCCAAAAATTTTAAAACATTCACCATAGGTCTAAGGCTTATGTACCGGGCACCATGCAATATACAAACAAGTACATGGCATACATTTCAAAAACAATCAATTTTTGAATTGGGTGGGTGAATTCTTAATTACCCCCTGACATTTGGTCCAAAAGTTTTGAAACTTTTTAATCTGACCCCTGCGCACTCAGAAGTGTGCTCACTGCGGCGATGGGTTAGATCGCCACACCGTGCGTTGATTAACGTCATGTTCACGCTCCACGTGCATTCGCCGCAGTGATGGATTATATCGTCGCGGCGAGCGTTGATTGCAAACAGTGTTCATCCTAAGGACGATTGCCGCGACAATGTGTTATATCACCGTGGCTAGCACTGATTTTGCAATCAGCGTGTGCGCCAACAACG